CTGTAACAAGCATTTTCATGTTGCTTAATCGTGCGACCATCTTCGTTCCTTTTGAATCTTTTATTGTTGTTTTTAGTGGAATCATTAGGACCGAATTTTCTTCCGTGTCCACGTCCACGTCCATATCCACCTCGTCCACGACCACGATCATTACTTCGAGCGCGTTTACGTCCGTAATTATTATAATTGGATGCTGCAACATTCACTTCCGGGAATGGAGCTGATCCAGTCGGACGAGATTGATGGTTCAACATCACAATTTCATTATTTTGTTCTGCAACCAACAGAACTTGCATTAGTTCAGAATACTTCGTGTATCCTTTTGCTCGGTATTGTTGTTGCAGAAGTACATTTCCAGGATGAAATGTTTGGAGAGTTTTCTCAATCATATCATAATCACTTATATTTTCTCCACATAACATTATCCTGGAAGTAATTCCGAACAAAGCGGAATTATATTCGGCAACACTTTTGAAATCCTGAAACCAGAGGTTCAGCCATCATGTTTCGCTTTTGGTAAGATCACATATTTTTGGTGATCAAACCTATCTCCGAGTGCTTGCCAAAGATCTGCGGGATCTTCCTTTGTGATGTATTCATCTTTTAAACCATCATGGATATGGTGGGTTAAAAATATCATGGCATTTGCCTTATCCTCTTCAGGAGATGATTTTGATTTATCGATGGTGTCAAGGAGCCTTTTTCCTTTTAAATGCCTCTTTGCTGCAACGGCCCATCTCATATAATTATTCCCAGAGATATCAAGGGCAGTGATCTCGAGTTTTGCCAAATTTGACATGATAACAGTAAACATATAAAATAATTTATTAAACATAAATTTACTCGTTTTTCAATTTTAATTTAAATGGCATGATAATGTTATTTAATTAAATTGAACCATTTTAAATATGCAAACGATTACAAATGTCATTATTAAAAGTTTCATTTAATTAATTTAAAACATATAAGGTACTTTCATAAGTGAAGCGATCACAAGAAACACAATTACATAGAAAAGTAAAATAGAAACCATTAAAAACTCTTCGGGAGAAAATTTTCCAAAAATTAAACCATAAATAGCAACAAAAATAAAACCTATTACAAAAACTAAGAATGAATTAACCATTTTTTTTTCTTAGATTTTAGAGAGAGATATGATGAATGAGTGAAATGAAATGAATGAAATATGATTGTATTTATAGATTGAAATTTATTGTTCATAACCGTTATAAATACTGTTCCTAGCCGTTTGAAAAGTGTAAAATTTTGAAAAATTTCTTCATGACCGTTGGTGAAAATATTAAACCGAAAATCAATCGTAAATATATATAATCAGATAGTTAAAAATTTAACAATTTAGATATCATAATGGAATTTATAAACATAACATGAATTAAAATATTACAAAATTAAAAGAACAATAATTATAATTTGTCTTATGGACAAAATTTATTATATAGTTCTTCTGGAACGTTTTCATATGTCTTCTGGACATTTTTATTTCATATATTTTATTTTGTATAGTTCTTCAGGAACTTTAAATAAATATCTTCAGGATATGTAATTATAAAATAATGATCTCAGGAGGCAGAGTCTACCATATGATCATGATCCGTTTCAGGAGGCATAGCCTTCCATAGGATCAAGGAGGAGGTATAACCTTCCATTCCTTAAATATTATAAATAAACAAATTTTAAATAAATTTAAACATAATTTAAAATATTACCTTCACTATACCTTAAATATTTAATCGTGTAGAGATTCGGATGTTTTTAGAAACGAGAGCTTACTCGTGCTGATAACGTGTTGAATAAAATGCTTAAAATATTATAATAATAAAGAAGAAGAAGAGAGAAACGAGAGCAACTTGTATTATTGAGTTTCTTATCTTATGCGTACAATCTCTACTTCTCAAAGGAGAGGTATTTATAGGGGATGAAAACTTAGGGGCCAAACTACTTAGGGGCCAAGCTACTAGGGGTCAAAAGGATAAAGTGATAATGATAAATGTAATTATCCTATTTTAACAAAGTTGGGTTTTTTGGTTTTTGCTATTTTATATTATTAAAATAAAACAGAATATGTTGGATTAGAAAAATTATTTGGACTTTAGACGTGGGCTTGGTTTGAACTCTTTACAAGAGACTAAAAATCAAAAATTAAAAACCACTACACCAAAGGAACAAAACTGAAAGTTGATGCCCCTAAAACTTTTATATTATTTGGCGCCTAAAGCCCTTGCTTCCCAGGCTTTAGGTCAGGGCCGGGCATGTTGGTGGATTTGGTAGATATCTTCGTTTGCCTGAAGCTATTGGGAGGGATAAATTCATTAATGTTTTTCTTATATTCTCCAAAGAGTGAAAAAAAACTTGAAAGCTGGTATTCCAAATTTCTCTCCCAAGCTTGGAAAGAAGTCTTGATAAACTCTGTAGCTACATCTCTTCCAACGTATAGTATGTCCTGCTTTCTTCTACCAGAAAAAGCTTCTTAATCAAATTTCAGGTCAGATTCGGAGATTTTGGAGGTCAAATACCAAGGAGAAGCAGAAAATATCTTGGGTAACATGGCACAAACTGACCAGATTAAAGCAATATGGAGGTATGGGCTTCAGGGACGTATATAGTTTAAACATTGCTCTGCTAGCAAAGAAAAGTTGGCGTCTACTTACACAGCCTCAATTATTGCTTAGCCGTGTTTTAAAAGCTAAATATTTTGCTAAGTCAGCCTTATTAGACGCAAATCTGGGACACCGACCAAGCCATGCATGGAGAAGTATATATCAAGGTAATCAACTTATTCAACAAGGCCTGAAATGGAGAATAGGGGATGGACAAAAAATTAGAGTCTGGCATGATCCATGGATTGATAATCCGCTTCGTCCAGAAAAAACATAAATTGTTCTGAAACTAATCAACTCACAGTTTCAGGTCTTATATTGCCTCACTCTAATTGCTGGAATGAAGATAAGCTGAGTAAGTTAATGCATCCGGATGATGTTCGTCTAGTCAAAATAATAAGGCTGAAACTTATACCATCTTCGGATGCACCTTCATGGATTTACTCAAGAAATGGTCAATACTCTGTCAAATCAGGTTATCACCAACTTACTAAGTCCTCCACAACATCAAATCCTGAGTCTGCAAAAATCAATATGCTAAGTAAATCCATCTGGTCCCTATCTGCTCCTCCAAAAATTAAACACTCCTGGTGGAAAGTTATTCACAATGCTCTCCCAGTTGCAGATGCTCTAACCAACCGACGCATCAAGATTTCATCTGAATGTCTACTATACTATGTGGAGAAGCAAATGAGTCTACTAATCATCTTTTATTCCAGTGTCGAGTTGCTAAACAGATTTGGGAACTCTCTCCTGTATTCCCTACTCCAGGTCAGTTCAACGCAAATCATAATCTACTAGATAACATTCAACAATTGCTTTCTATCAAAACCTCAACACAAGACAAGGAACATTTATTTCTTTCTCTGGGTTGGCGTATATGGAAGGCAAGAAATGATTTGCTTTTTAATAATCGAAGATGTTCTATCCCTAACATCATCCACCAAGCAATTCTTGATTTATGTCTGTGGAAGGAGGCTACTAATACTCCTCATCCTACGTACGATGCAACAACAGCAAGTCAAAACTCCCATCAAGAGGTACTTGCTAAAATTCCTTCTCTTTGTTGTTGTACATATGCCTCTTGGGTTGATCAACACAGTAAAGCGGGTATTGTTTGGTGTTTGCATGATGCTTCGGGACGCTACATCCTCAAGGGCTATGCGTCAATTGATCCTACTGATTCAGCCCTTGAAGCAGAAGCTATTGCCCTGAGAGAATCTCTCCTCAATTTGAAGCGCTTAAATTACCGCAATGTTACTTTCTGTGGAGACTTCTTAACTCTATAAGGGCATTTAATGAAAGTAGCTAAGCTTGGAAATCAAATTCCTTCTGGACATACTGAGATTCAAGGTTATCAGGATGATATAATTAATCTAGCTCAAGACTCCTATCAATTCAGATTCATTGGAAGGAAAGCAAATACTATTGTAGATAGCTTAGCAAAAGAAGCAAGAGTCAATAACTCTTCTCTTGTTGTTTCTTGGATTTTATAGATGTAAGTCTTTGTTAATCTACCACTGTAACAAGGTCCAAGTACGTATGGCTCTGTTTTGTACTGAAAGTTGTAAACTATGTATTTTATTTTCAATGCAGTGGAAATGGCCGACAAAAAAAAAAAAAAAAACAAGAGTTTCAAATGCATTACCTTATCATTGGCGCTCAGAGAAAGATTTCAATTCTATTTCTACAAAACTATTATGCAAGTCAAAGCTAAAAGAACTTTCCTACCTTAATACCTCATCATTTAAGAGCATGTGGTAAATTGATATGAGTCAAACTAATACTTTTATAAATCATTTACATAATTTTTTTTTTTCGTGAAATTTACGATGTATTCACCATCGTTTTAGGGTTATACATTATTATTTAGTTGCAATGCAAATTACTTTGATTAGCTCGAGAAATTCGTTAGTCATTTTTCTTGTGCACACCAAACTTATATTAAAATTAACTTGGAACACAAAGCTATAAACACTTTGCTAAGGAGCTCACAAGTCGAACGTTTTTGAAACAAAGACAAAATTAAACAATAAAGCTTGAAAACGATAAGATAGAACCTTCTTCAAGAGGGTTTTGAAATTGATCGGTCTGAAGTCGATCGACGACTCTCGGTCTTGCAATAAAATCAAAGATGATGCTATAGTTCTTTTGTCTTTGAAGGTGAGCCAACAACAAAAACTCAAACACAAAAATAAATTATTCTAAAAAATAAATTACAAAATAAATTAATTATTTACAAAAAACAATTTTTTTTTTCCTTATTCTAAAAAATATGCTTAACACACAAATAATTAAAAAATAAAAAAAAACAAAAATCTAAAATGTTATCTTACTATCATATATAGTAAAATTATAAAATCTTAATTTACATTAATCTAATTAATAAAGAGTCAATTAGCTGCATGCTAATTATTTGAGAAATAATTAGGTGTGACATAAACAAGTTTTTTTCTTTGCAAAACAAGAGAGAGAAAGTGGTACAACATAACATTTTTGACGAAAATACCCTCATCTTCACCATCTCACATCTCTCTCAAAAATTCCAAAAAACTCTAACACCTTGAGATTCTCAGTTTCTCAATTTCTCTCATCGGGAAGCTTTCTTCACCAATTAAAACTGCATGTCAATTACCCACAATCAACCCTTTTAAGAATCAGAAACGATTGATTACAGAGAGAAGGAATTTGATCGTTAAATCGATCATTAGAGACAGAGAAGCAATCGATGTGAAGAGTGACAATTTCAAACCATAAGAAGAACAAAAAAAGATGAAGAAGAAGGAGAAGGAGAAGATAGAGATACCGATCCGTTGATGAGTCGTAGAATCAACACATCCATAGTTCTCGTCGCCGGTACCGTTGCGGTTACGAACCAAGCCCATATTGATCATGAATTGGGGAGAGATGTTGCCGGTGACGGAGAGGCGGCAAATGGCGGTGGGATTTTGTGGGCGGAGAGATAGAGAAAGGGAGAGAAAAAGTGAAAATTGATGATGTGGTTTTAGGGTAATTTCGTCTTTTTGCCCTGTTTCTAGAAGATGTCTTATTTACAATTTTGCCGCATATCCTTTGACTTAATTATTTTGTAGTCTTAGGGTATGCAATGCAAATACTCATTAATAAACTTCGAAAAACCTAGGGGTACTAATCTTAGTATAATTGTATAAATACCGAAATAACCTACTTAGACAAAACCACAATTAAAAAAAAAAAAAATTAACGAGACAAGCCACCTTCTCTCTCTCTCTCTCGCATTCACAAATTTGCGTCTCTTGCCCAAATAACCACGGTTCCCTTCCGGGACCGTAAAACTGTATCATCTCCGACTAAGTTTGTCGCCGCCTTTTTCCTCTGTCAAAAACATTCTCCGGTGCGTATCCTTACCTTACTTCTCAAACTTCAATTGCTTTCCTTCAGATTTTCCGTGGGTTTAACATGATCGAATCTATGCTTAAAAATTGAGTCTTTGTTTGATCTTATCCTCACAATAACTCGAACGCTATATAAAAAAAGAGCGAGCTCCTTTAGATCTTAGTTTGATAATAATTAGGTTTTTAATCGAACCCATGCTTAAAAACTGAGTCTTTGTCTGATCTTATTCCTATTTGACTCCAATCTTTAATTTTATTATTTTTGATGTGAATGGTTTCTATGTTATTGCAGGTTTAGTACCTCTGCTTAAGGATTAGAGAGGTATTATGGACTCGCGAGGGAATGTGGCTGAGGATAAGAATGTTTCGAGTAAAGGTTAATACTTTACTCTTTTGATGAAATTTTCTAGATTGTTTGTGTTCACTACAGATTGTTGAATCTTGATTTTTGTTTTGGTTTATGGATGTCAGCGATTCGAAAGAAGGTGAACAACACTGTGTCAATAGCATTAAAGAGATATAAGATTGATAGTTATATCTTACTGGACCTTGATAAGGTATTAAATGATGTCTACTGCTCTTTTCGACCGGTTTCTGCTGATTACGATACTAGGAAGGAATTGGTGAAAAACCTTAATGCTATGGCTATAGATATTTATGGTAATCTAAGATTTACTTGTAGTTTTTTTTTATCTTATTTAGCTTGACTGATATCGAAAGTTAGCAGAGGTTTTATTTGTTTTTGTGGTTCATTAGGTAATTCTGAAGAGAGCAGCCCTGTCCTTGAGGCGTATGGGTCTTTCGTGATGGATATGTATTCCTCTCAGAGTGATTTGGACGTGTCTATTAACTTCGGTAATGGAACACCTGAACTTCCTCGTGAGAAGAAGCTCGAGATACTTAAAAGATTTGCAAAGAAGCTCCGGTCTCTGCAGGGTAAGATATTTGTTCCATTCTTGTTGTTGATTCCATGATGGGAAAGAATTTATTATTACTGAGACATTCTTTTTTTGTTCAAGTCATTGGCAGCTGTTAAGGTGTATGACAACTTCCATTATTGTTTTTCATATATACCAAAAACCCCAGCAGTCTTGCTTTAGTATATCAGTGACACGTGAATACGAGATTCTTAAAATGATGAGTTTCATATATATCTTGCCTAAACTTCTTTTGTAGGAGAAGGGCATGTTAAAAATGTTGAATCTATCTTCTCTGCTAAGGTGCCAATTGTCAAATTCTCTGATCAAGGGACTGGTGTTGAATGTGATTTGTCTGTCGAAAATAAAGACGGCATTTTAAATTCACAGATCGTTCGCATCATATCTCAAATTGATGGCAGGTTTCAAAAACTTTGTATGTTGGTAAGATTTTAAGTTCTATTCTAATGGCTTTCGTTATCCTTATAGTACTAATGACTTGTGAGTTTTTTCAACAGAATTTAGTTCTTCTTGTTGGCAGGTTAAAACTAAAAACATTTCTTGAATGACTAGAACTTTTTAGGGTTATAGATTTCTTATGAACTGCCTATGGTTTGTTGTTGTAGTTTCTTTCAAGTTACTTCAGTTTTTTTTTAATGATTTTCAATTTAACAAAAGTTTTCCCAGTACTGACTAATTTTTCAGAACAAATTTCTCTTCACTATCTAAGTGGAATCTACGATGCTCACAGATTTTAATGAAGTAGCAGCAGAAAATTTAATGCTAGTGACTGTTTGGCTAACCATAGGTTTTATATTGATGGAAGTGTTTAAAGTTCAAAACGAGCATATAGATTGTTTTGTTTTTTTTTGTTAACTCGGCTATCGATATGTGTAGTCTGTGGTCAATATATTTACTAATGTGATTATTCTCATATGTCAGGTTAAGCATTGGGCCAAAGCACATGAAGTTAACAGTGCGCTACACCGAACCCTGAATTCTGTATCTATAACATTGCTAGTCGCTCTTCACTTACAGGTATCAACTTATTATTCCAGTTACATTTACAAGGGATGGTGGATTCTTATAGGTAGAATTTTGACTTATGCCCAAGTAAGTAGTTTATCTGGCTGTTTAATGGGGAAGAAATTTGTTTCTTTTCATGTGTTTAGTTCTTTTTGACTTGTTGGATAAATTTAGCCTTTAAAAGCAAGTTGGATAAAAGTGTTAGGTTTTTTATTGCATCATTTGAAGTTGCATGTGAATAGTATCTGATCAGATACTATTCAGGCGTATGAGGAACTTTGAATGTTGAATGACTAAATACTTCCGAGCCTAATTGCTTCTCCTTTGTCATATGTGCAGACTCAAAATCCTCCCATTTTACCTCCATTCTCTATGCTATTTAAAGGTAATATTAGTATCCACACATTAAACTAAGTGAAGGAGAACTATGGTGGTTTTGTTCTTTTTGCGGCGGTCATTTGATTTCTGGCAGATTCAACATCTACAGAGTTTCTTTAGGCATTTTTAAGCTTGTGATACTAATAGAACATTTGATGACAGATAACATTTTTAATACTCTTCTTTTAACGTGCGTGTTAGCAACATATTCCTGTTTTCCGTAATGACATTAACTGAGTCTTTTCTTTTCCAGATGGAATTGATCCTCCTAACGTGGAGAAAAGGGCACAAAAGTTCTTAAACTGGGGACAGCGTAATCAGGAATCTCTGGGTAGACTCTTTGCAACCTTTTTTATTAAGGTGCTATATCTTTTTACCTTTAAACCCAAACACTAATTACAGAACAAGCTGCAGTACATGCTTTTGTTATAACGAATTAGCATTTCTGTCTTGCAGTTGCAATCCGTAGAATTCCTTTGGAGGCAAGGGCTCTGCGTCAGTGTGCTAAACGGTCTTTGGATATCTAAAAAGTGGAAAAAAGTTGGCGTTGGATCCATTAGTGTAAGCTATTAAAAAACTCTATTCAGTAAGATTACATTTGCCTTCTTACTTTTTCTTATATCAGTTTTTTTTTCCGTGTGTCTTACAGGTTGAGGATTTTACTAACGTGTCTCAAAATGTCGCAAGGCGAGTTAATGGTGCAGGAGCCAAAAAGATATACAGCTCCATAAACAGAACTGTCGAAGACATCTTTGAATTCCTCAATGACAAGGTTGCTGGAACAGATCTCAGACATAGGTTATTTGGCAAAGGAGCTGTTGTGCAGATTCCTCCTGGGGCGCCACTTAATGGAAAGACCGCTGGAATACACAGGGTGTCTGGCCAACAAGCTGTTGTGGAGCCTCGTCCTCCTGTGCAGCCGCTCAATGGCAAAATTGCTGGAACACATCGCAAACAGAAGGTGTTTGCCCGACAACCAGTTGTGGAGCCTCGTCTTCCTGTGCCGCCACTCAATGGCAAAATTGCTGGAACACATCGCAAACAGAAGGTGTTTGCCCAACAACCAGTTGTGGAGCCTCGTCCTCCAATGCCACCACTCAATGGCAATATCGCTGGCACACATTTCAGACATAAGTCGTTTGGCCAACAAGCTGTTGTGCAGCCTCCTCCTGTGCGGCCACTCAATGGTAATATCGCTGGAATTCATTTCAGAGATATGTTGTTTGACCAACAAGTACTGGTGGAGTCTCATCCTCTTCTGCCGCCATTCAACGGCAATATCACTGGAACGCATTTCAGACATAGGTCGTTTGACCAACCAGCAGTTCTGGAGCCTCGTCCTCCTGTGCCTTCTCTCAACATTTACTCACAGCAACTTCACAATAACTACAGAAACGGGTTCAGTGGTCCTCCTGAAGAACATTACAGCAAAAGAGTTTGTTTGGGAAACAACTACAGAGCTGTAGAAGAAACGGGTCAGTGGAGAGAGGAAGAGAGATACGAAGATCCCAGAGGAAAACGAAACAGGTATATCGGAAACTTTAACGGGTTTGAAGAGTTTCGTGAAATTCCCCGTTTTGGAATCCATAGTAACCCTTTAGATGATCCTTATAGACAAGTCCCTTTGAATGCTCGAATCCATAGTAACCTTTTAGATGATCCTTATAGACAAGTCCCTTTGAATGCTGGAACAAATGGTCATTTGGTTCGCCATAGGCATGATGGTAGATATAGTCGTGAAGAACCAATGCATGTGGGACCGTGGCAAGACTACAATCGTAGAATTGATCCGCCACCACCGCAACCCCTTCCTCCTTATGGTAGAGTTAGCTATGAGAATTTTCGTCCTCAAAACCTTAACCAACCTCATTTTGGTAGATCGTTTTACTAGTAGGGTTTTTGAACAGCAAAGTTCAAAACCAACCATTTTTTAAAGATGAATATAAATTCATTTTAGGGAGGAATACAGGTTTTCGGTACTTCGGTTTAAATGTGGAGAAGTGAAATTGATGTAACTACAGTTTTGGGTGCTGAGAAAATGTCTTGAATGTTGTATGTTACTGTTTAGCTGGGATATGAGTTAATTTTATGCTGGATTCGGTTAAAATTTGGATTGGAGGATTTTTTACCAATTTTATGTAATTTGTTTGTGTTTAAGGATAACTTAAATTTCATTCTTCGTTATGGTATTAGAGTTCGCGTAACACCAGTGATATGGTAAGAAAGAATCATCATTTGAAAATAATTATTGCAAAGCTAATGTTTCTCATAACGCCAATTTGCCTTAGAAGTTTGATCCTTAGTATCAACTTTAACTGAAAGAGAATTTATACGTTTTAAGACCAAATTAATGACTTCTCGATTCAGTAGTGTAATCACAATCGTCAAGAGACCATAATATGTTTAAAGTGATATAAAAATCTCAAATCATCGAGAGGAGAAACCATTGTATCAAAATGATCACTAGTTTTCTGTTTACTTGGTTATTTTACACCATTTCTTTGGCCTCGCCGTGAAAATAACCAATATGTTGAATGTTGAATAAAATCTCAAATCGTCAAGAAATACTTTGGACTAGCCAAGAAAAATGAGAGTGATATAACTCATCACAGTTAGCTTTGCTTGGCAGACTCTCTTGTCAAAATGAAATCAACTGCTTCCTCGACGGAATCAACTACCTGAAGAAGTTGAATAGTTTCACATGAACACTAACTCGCAGGAATAATAATAATAAGGTTCTTTTAAAGGCTAAGTGATGCTGTAGCTTACCAGATCAGCAGGAAACTCGGCATGGTTATCTTTTCCTTTGAAAACTCCGGTTCTTGTCAAGATTGAGAACCAAGGAGTCCCAGCCTGTCACACAAATGTACTTTTACCAGATTACTAATGGTTTGAGGTAAGATTAGAGGAATGTTTTATGGCGAGATGACCAAGTCAAGTCTGAGAGAAAGAGCACAAAACCTGCCGGGCGCCTCTGATGTCGATTTTAGGGTTGTCTCCGATCATATATAGTGTCCTGAAGTGGCGACTTCCTTGGTTTGAAGAATGAGGGGATGTAGCGATTTCTTTCAGTACATCTTCTGCGTTCTTGAATACAAATGGATTTGGTTTGCCAAAAGATGTGTACTCCAGAGGGTTATCATGGATTCTGCAAGTATGTATTCAAACTCAATCATGCAAAACTGAACTGAACATATGAGGAAAAAATATCATATTGATTATGCGTTTAAAGACCAGTCTCGTGTTTCCTAAAAGATGTTCAGTGTCATATGGAAGGTCTGTGCTTGATTTTGGCTATTACCTGTTGAAGATTGACTCTAATGCGATTCTAAAAGCTCCCATGCCAAGACGTTCAGTAGGAAACGCAGTCTGCCTTAAGTTCACAATGCATCAGTATCCCATATAGTAAATCAAAAGAATGGAGAAATAACAACGGATTCACCAGAACCTGGTAGTCTAAATCGTCATTGGCAAAGTACAAATGAGGTTGAGGTCCAATTTCTTTCCCAGGAAGTCCTCCAGTTCGTAAAATGTCACAAAGAACCTGACCAAAAACATCAATCAGTATTTATTCACTGTGAACACCAAAAATTCTAATAAAGCTCTGCTGCCCCAACAAAAACTATGAGAATCTACCGCCAGAAACAATTTAAAATGTGTTTTATTTTTCTTTTGTTTCACATTATCGTGAAGCCATTGATATGGAAATACAAAACTCTACTTTGCCGTATTTATTACGATGTGTGCTTATAAGATTTTTTTCAACAAAAGAACAAAAATAACGCGTATCAGATAAGTATCACATCTGAAAATATAGATATGTGAAGCAGGAGAAACCTGGATGTCTCGGCTCCAATCAACTGGATCACTAACTATAAATGCTGCCTGAACTCTTTGGGATAGAACATTTTCTCTTGATCTAAGCTCCTTGTGACCATCCTGCCCGATCATGAATTTCTTATATGGCGCCAAGGGATCAATGTTGTCAAAGTAAGAGGCATATTCGTCCATTGAAATGACGTTTCTGAAAATACATGCACATATATAATCACCTGAATAGAAGTTTGAACAACAAACGAAAATCAGAAAACTCAAGAGAGAGCCTAGCGCTTACTTGAAACCATAATTAGACATCACCGCGGCAGGTTCCCCCTTTCCAGCTGCAACAACGAGCTCATTTCCAAACCTGGTCCAAGCAAATCGTTAAAAAACTTTCTGACACAACCAAGGAATAGAAGCGATGAAATCAAAGGCTATTAGTGCATCCTTAATTTCTTATAAAATTGTTTGCTAAGTCTTGTGCCCTATGTGATTTGATTAGTCCAGATACTCTGATACTTGAGATTAGAATGTAAGGCAGAGGTTGCAATACGGTTTCTTATATGTATAACTTACCTATTTACTAGCTTCCGAAAAGGTGAATGTCCTTGTACCACCTGAAACATGAACATGGCGACTACTGTAACATCAACATTCTACAGAAATAAAATAGAAAGGAAGTGATGTGAACAAGGTATCAACCTGCAATGGAGAAACTTGAACACCTAATAAATGACTCATCTCAGAAGCCCGTTTAGATTCAGGCAAGCCACCTCCTGTCATAACCAATGTAAATCTCCAGATGAGAAAAACCAATGACAAAATTGATGTTAACTATACTTCACTCCTCTGACTCATTTTGAAACTCATAACAGTACAACAAAGTACTTACCATTAGTCAAGAATAAAAAAGGTATCTTCAAAGCACCTGCAAAAGAAAGAACCACAAGAAACCTCAAACTCATGTACAAGAGATTACAATTAAACCTAAACCACTATTTGGCCTAGAATCAATCTATAACGTAAACCTAACTTCATAAGTAAGCAATCAAGTTCATCTTCATCTTCCAGACCAAAAATAGCAGCTTCTATAAATCAATCACGAAAGATAGCACATACCGGAATCATCGTAGAGTCGCCGGAGTGCGCCAGGAGAGCCACCAACGGGAGAGGAACCAAGAAGAATAACTCCATCGATATCGAATGCTATGCCAAAAGACGAGCTGTGGTTTTTTTTTGGTCAAGAGTCAGGAAGAGAGACAATAATGAGGAAAAGGAAGGAACGCAGCAGCGGGAGAGGAGAACTCACCGATTCGATTCCGGTGAAATGTTACTGAAGAAACGAGACGGTGATCGGAGATTAAAATCCCGCCGCCGCAGCGAGTTTCTCGCTAAGATTCGAAGATGATTCATCTTAATTAGAAGCCGGCGGAGAGAAAAAAAAAAAAAAAAAAAAGCCCTCTCTTTTAAAAAGGTTATTTACAGTTTTAGCTATATACTTATATTTTCTTCGACATTCGACCTCAAAGTTTTGGTAATTACAATTTCATCCTCAATCAAAACTCAGATTTTTTTATTTTTACTTTTTTTCACATGAAGTATGAAGGGGTACATGGAGTTAAAAATCAAAACGGGTAAACTTCTAAAGAAACATACTACTGTATTTTACATATTTACAAAGATACAAAAATATTTACCACAAACTTTGTATGAAACAGAGTAAAACTTTATAACACATCTTCACTAGCCTTCTCTTTTGCTGTCTCCGTCGTTGTTGTTTTCTTTCCCTGATCCGACTAGATCACGAGCGATCATTGTCTTGATTCGGCCTCTTCTCGGATGCAGCGCGATCGAGGTTGCTGATCTTACTAGATGGCGAACGATCATGATCTTAATTCGGCCTCTCTTTGGAGGAACGGTTGATTCCTCCTTTCTTGAGCTGTAAGGAGATGGAAGCTCCATGGTCATATAGTATCTAATAAGTAGAAAGGAATCAAAAGAGTGAAGCAGAGAAACGAATTCGAATGCGAGTAAAATAACGTTGAGAGAGAGGCTATTAAATAAGGCTTTGAGAGACACAACACTCATCACAAAGTCACAGACCAAGTCTTTTCAAGACCAATTCTTTCACTTGCGGAGCAAGCTACGTAGGGTTAATTTGGTAAATCGAGTAGAGATAATGTAATTAAATTCATTAACATGTGTGATCTACAAGGTTTTATCAGTTTATGATTGGTAAGTAGATGTGGCAAGGGAGACACGTGTGAATGTGATCACTCTCGTAACGCGCTACTACAGTCGTTGTCGCTGACTCGCTGGTTCTAAGTAGAATTAATCTCAAACCTCTTGATAATTTTCCATAGTAGATAAGGATTAACTCACATTAAATCTGATTAACAGGAATGCAAAACATGTGATTGTTCAAATTCGGGTTTTAGATGATTAGATCCAGACCCGTTGTTGATCCAGTGCAAGAGGTGCATTTGCATTAGGTGCAACCAAAATTAAAAATTTTGTCTTTTTTTTTTACTCAAACAAATTTAATAAAATCTGAACTAATAAGACAATGTGGGATACATGTATGCATAGATATTATCTCGCTTTGAGATTTTATGGTATAAGACGAGAAATCATTTTGTTTTTCTTGTTATAGGATAAAAAAATTGAATACATAGAGTTTGTAACGATGGTGCAGCACAACATTGATGGATTATTTTTTGCCACCACACAGTCTACACTGAATCAAGCTAATGTTTGAGAAGAGCCTGATTAGATCTATAGATAGTCTTGAGCTACCTATACTAATCATTTGACACATGTAAGTATATACTATAGTTTTATCTTCTTTGTATCATCGCTACAAGTGAATCCAAAATTGATGACACTTGTTAATTGTTATGTTAGGCTTTGTGCATGTCTCAGTTTGGTTTGGTCGAAGACCCGTTGGCATCATTTTTTTAAAAAAACGTTATGACATGTAACAACTTTACGAGGAAAAAACAAAAATTTTCTAGATAATATTGAGATTATTAAGTAAAAAGTATCTTCTAACAAAACCTTTTTTCATACGTGATAACATCAGATTACATCTTACAAAGTATGGACATAATAAACATCAAAATAACAAAAAAGTATGTACACAATTATTTAATTACAATCTCGCCTCTTCTTCCACAGTGAACCGATCGAAGCTATCGATTTGCGGAGTTTGCGAACGATCATAATCTTGACCTGTCCTCTTCTTGGAGGAAGCCATTGCTTGGTTCTACTAGAGCTGTTGGGAGACAATAACTTCATTATTTAATTATCACTAAAAAAAGAGAGAATATATATGAGAGTGAGGTGACAAAAATGTCTGAACTCTGAATGAGAATGAGAAAGTGAGAAACTTTTTTATAGAGAGAGAGCAGAGAAGTTCTGTTATGGTTTTTCCCTTGGTGGCTAAGCAAACATTTATTTTGGTCAAGGCAAATTTTTTTTTTTTTTCAAGGCAATTTTTGGTTATCAGAAAAACGTGTCAGAGAAGCAGGAGGGCATATTTTGTATATTCTCGTCAGAAATTTGTAAGAAGTTTTGTATACAAACAATAAAGAGTTTTATCTAATAAGATAATTAGGGGGTGTTATTCAATGATGGATTTTAATAGAATTGAAATCCAATACTAATCCAGTGTTATTCAACTAATGATTATAAATCTAACGTTAAAATCTGGTGTTATTAGATCTTAGTTTATGTACATAACATCTTACGACTTTTTGTAGAAAATATGTTATACTGATATCAATAAGCATTATATAAGATGCAAATTTAAAAAATGGTTGTCTAATTTATTTATGAATACAAATTAGCGAAATTGTTTATTATGTAGATTTTTAATTTCGTTTTCAACTTATGGGAACGTTGTTATTGGAAATTTGGTATCGAGCGCATGTGTGAACGCATTCAACTTGAGTGTTATGGTCATTGGTCACTTTCAAATATGGGACCAAGGCGAAAAAATAAATAATACATATATATATATATATATATATATATATATATATGGGACCACGGACACAGATAGTGGAGATGTATATACTAAACATTACTAGTACTTGGCCTAGAGTCAATATCCCTCTCCCCCAATGAATTTCGATAAGGTTCGTATCAATTCACAACTGCTATTTCGGAGAATGAGATTCACATGTTTCAAGTTTCAACAAACTAGGGAAAAATTTGTTTTCTCAAAATCCAAAAGTTAGCAGACAGTATTATCTACATAATCTAGACCTAAAAAATGGCAAATTCGATGAATTAATCATGGAAGAAAGAAAAAAAAAAGAAAGAAAAAAAAAAACAAAGTGCCTGCCAAAATCATCATAGAGTCGTCAGACGCATTGGCAGAACCGGAATAAGCATCTGTCTTGTCTCAAATTTGTAAAGTTAATTTGTATAGATCATGGGGCTCATTACCCCTATAATGTTTTAAAAATTATATACTATAGATCATTTGACCCTTATTAAATCGTAATTATTACAGAACCATAAATCATAGGCCAGTCCTGCCGTTAAGAGCATCTCCATTAGGAGTGAGAGTTAAGAGCATCTCCATTAGGAGTTTCTCTCGTGGTTTCTCCTTAAATTAAAAAACAAAAAAAATAATAATAAAGGAGGATAGAGATTGAGAAACGTTGATCTGCAGAGAAATCCAGAGAAACTGTTCTTTACACATGTCATATTTTAATAGATTAAATAATTACTTTCTCAATAATTATTTAAATAAATAATAAGATTATATGATAATTATTAAAATACAATATTTTGAGAAACTCTTACAGTTTCTACCGATAAAGATGGCCTAAGGAAACCGCCAATGGGAGAAGAACCAAGAAGAATAACACCACCGGTGTCGAAATGCAATGCCATAAGACGTGTTGTGTTGTTTTGTCAGAAGAATGGAAATGAGGAAAGTATAACAAACATAGCAGCGGGAGAAGAGATCGCACCACTTCGATTCCAATGAGAGGTTATATAAGGAACAAAGTGTTGATCATAGACTAACAATCCGTTGTGGTAGCGCGAAGATTAGTAGATATAATCTATTTTACTTAACATAGAAAGGAGCAAAGAATAAGATAGAAGGAAAAAGAAAGGAGCAAAGCCTTATATAGAAAGGAGCAAAGCCTTATATAGGACATGAACTTCTGTTTATCTGGGCATGATTAGTTTCTTCACCTTAAACAGATATATCAGTTTAGGAAATAATTCTCATTTCTTCAAACTTTGTTTTAGTTAGCTTAAATATAAGGGAAATTTACTAGAGTGACCCATAATTTGTGTTTAATTACTAGAATGGCATACCAAAAATATGGGTTATATGGGTAATATTTATGACTAAAATGCCCCTATTTTGCTTTATAGAGAAAAAAACATATTACAAGAATGCCACTAATATTTAATTCCATCGTGGCAAAAAAATACAATTTATTTACGATACTGCCACTCTCGTTTTTGTTAAATCTGTGGCTCCTGTTGCGACAGATTTATTTAGTACGACAGATTATTTGATCCACCACAGACTTTCTTCGACAGACTTTTTTTGTACCACAGACTTTGTTTGATTTAGTAATGACAGATTTATATTTTTCCGCAGATTTTTTTTTCGCGACAAATTTGTTGTATGTTGTATCCACAGATTTTCCTAAAATTTTTAGATTCTCAATGGTTATAAAACAAATATGCCACAAATTTGTTTTCCAACCGCAGACTTTTCTTTATTTTGGCAACAGATTTTAGGATTTTTTAAAAAAACTGTCGTTTTATAACAGATTTTTTAACACAAAAAATTGATATATAATGATGACAGAGTTGTTTTATGTATTCGCAGATTTTCTTTATTTGTTGACAAATCTGGCGTTTTATAGCAGGTTTTTTCAAAAAAAATATATAATTACTAAACAGTCGCATAGTGATAACAGATTTGTTTTTAGTTATGACAGTTATGTTTTTTGGACCCTAAGCATAACAGATTTTCTCATGTCATGTTATGACCGATTTGTTTCTAACTAGAATAACCTTTTTAGTGTTGACAGATTTTTGGTTGGCAGATTTGTTTTTGAAATTTCAAAAAATCGTGTTACATGAGATTTAATATCTAGCCTCAAATTCGACAGAACTCCAAATCTTGTCAGTTTGCTTGTATGTTTAAACCGGTTTGATTGCGTTTGGTTACGACAAACTTTTATTATCTCTGACAGATTTATACAAATTATTGCCATAATTGACGTTTAATGCATTAAATTCCTAATATTTAGAGAAGGAATATTCTTCTAGGGTCTTTGCTCCAGAAACGGTTTTTGTTTTTGTCTTCTTCTTTTACGCTTACCCAATGTCTTACGATTTCATCCTTTATTTTTTCTTCTTTTTCGGGATCAAATTTGCTTCAATTGTTTCTGTTCTCTTTTTGATCCCTCACGATTTCATCCCTCTCCTTCTATTTGAGTGTCGTTCCATATTTTTTTTGTTTTTCTTCCTTTTGATTGTTGTGAGATCGAAGTCCAAAAAATTGGGCATGGATCAGGTGATTCTCGTGTGTGGAAAATAGTTCTTTGAGAAAACGAAGTGGCTTTTTGTCGTTGATAATAGTAAAGGTTGTGGCGTAAGATGGACATGTCGTTGATCCCAAATGTAAGTAAACAACCATTAAACCAATGTTTAGCCTAATATTCCTCTTCCTAGATATCATTTGAAAGTAATATAGATTGAATAATGGAATCGTATACTTGATGGAGCATATATTTGGCCTCTGGCCTCTCGTATCACTAAACACTATAGATTTTCTTAAGTTTTATTAGAACAAACAACTTTGTGTCTCGTAGTACCAATTAGATGACTTAATGGAACCGAAGATTTGTTTTATTTTGGATCTTTAAGGTAGTGAAACTGATGCTTTTTTTTTTATCAATAACATCAAAATATTGTTATGGTAAAAAGATGTAAAAACCAAAATCCAAATATTTTAGAGAAAGTACAGAAAGCAAATCTAAAAAGTAGTAGGAAACCGATATACTGTAATTGTTTCTTGATTTTCTCAAAGATCAGCAAAGACCGCGAATATGTTACCGTTGATGTAATAGTAGCTGTTCTTCACCTGCATTTTTGGATCAAAATGTCCATTAGTCATTTTAAATAAACCATAGTCAAGAGCAATAACAAAGCCGATCAGATCAAGAAAAATATATGAACTTACCTCTTCGAGCAAGTTTCTGGAAGGGTCAGCTTCTGGGTACAAGTTAGCCTAGCTTCTTCACCAAGTCCCAAATGCTTCATCCTTCCAGACTTTGAAGCTAGCGAGATCGACAATGGTTGGTTGAATGATTTCCTTAGCCGGGAAAACTCCCCATGTAACAGCATTCACATCAGATTGGGCAGTGTTCGATACCCAGTTTTCTCCTTTGTTCACAGCCATGTAAGTAATCGATGGCAAAGCTTTGCATTTCTCCACCACTGCATCTAATTTCTCCTTTGAGCAGAAGAACTCTAGATAAGCCTTTTGGTATACATATGCAACAGGACCTCCCCACCCTGCAAATCATACAGTATCGATGAATCAGTGATCAAAACTCTGAAACACTATTTTCTATGAGAACAGAGACTTAACGAGACTGAATCCTCACCAACAGTTGGGGAATCAGATCTCTCGGCGTTGACTGATGGTTGGCTGTTGATGGTCAAGAAGCCTTTGGAGTTGATTTTTACCAGTTGATCGTTTATTATCTTTGTCTCTGGTAGGAGTCCATCTAATTCAGACCAGGGATGCTTTTAAGGTTTCCAAGGCTGCTGGAAACAAGAGAAAACGAGGACACCGAAGAAGAGTTACAGTCACCACGAGATAAGCAAAGCAGAGGGGAAAGGAAACCAAAACGTCTCGCCAGAGATCGAGTCGCCGGCGAAGAAAAACCACCGGAGAAGAAAGCAATTACGGCGAGTCAACAACCAACAGAGGTTCCACAGCGAGCGAAGCTTTCGACATGCATTTGGACGGAAGATTAAGACTATCGGAGAATCGACGGCGACTTCAAACAACGACTCGACGGCGACCAAGGATTTCTAGGGTTTTTTTGGGAGAGAAATCGTGGAGTTTGAAGAGAAGAGAAGAGTGAATGTCGTCGTTTTGGTTTCTCTACAATAAAGGGGCAAAAATTGATTTATTGATTAATATTAGTTTAATTTCTTTTTTTTTTTGTTTTAATTAAATTATAATGGCATGATTGTTATTAATGTTAATCAAGAAGGTTAATTAGACTTTCTACTTAAAATATGGGTTAGTCTAGTAATCCAAATCAAATGGGTGTCATTTAAGTTATTTTTCCTAAATTATGAGTCATTCTAGGTAAATCTCAGTAAATATAACTCGTTAAATGATTAAGTTTAACCTTTAAGGGCTTTAGAGTAGTCTTTGTTGCTCTTGTGGTGGCTAACTTTAATTTGTTTATCTGAAATTAATAGATTATAAGTTGCTCAGTCATAATCCACGATTCCAAATTTTTATCTGAAATTATATAACCTTGATGGTCAAACACTAGAGTTCACAGGTGCAAATAAGATATTATTCCAGACATGGAGACATTAAATGTAGAGAAACTGAAACAAAACATGTTGTGTCTTAGGTTGTAACATCTTTAGGATCTTGTCTGTTATCATCTTGGAAATTTCTGTATGTGTAACACCAATAGCAGAAAAGAAAATAGCCAAGGTTTAGAACGCCTCCAATGACCAAAACCCAGTAGACGTTGTCCACTCTCCCATGGTTAATGTCGTCTGGTAACAACGTGGTGGTCCCTCTGTATCAGGTTGATTAGAGCTATACTTAAATAGAAGGAGATTCCAATCGCCACCGAGGTCACACAGGTTGCTGTGTTCCTTTGAGACTCAGGGAACTCTCCATAGAACACTGCTACATTCGCCATATAATGGAAGGCATCGCCAATTCCAACTATCACGAGAGGAGGAAAGAGCCACAAAACTGACATTAGATGCTCATTTTCAACTGTTTTTAGTCTTTTTGCTTGGCAGAGATTATCATGCTCAGGATGTTGAAAACTTGGCCTATACCGACTTGTTGAAGCGGTGTTAGCTGTTTATGGGTTATCTTCTGATACATGGGATACATAGTCCAGTTATTGAGCACAAGAAAGACGCATGATGAGATGAGTACTATTACTTGCAGTGACCCGGCCGGAACTTTGAATCTAGAGCCGAGTCCTCGGTCTGTTACCAGAGCTTGTAGAACCGTCATGCTTGCTTGAAAACCAATGGAATTTCCAACGAATAGAATTGCTAACCATAGAGGGAGAACTCTGAGAACAGATTTCAAATCTTCTACTTCCTCAACAGAACATAGCCTCCAGATGTTATTAACTGAGCCGTCTTTCTCATTTAAGTCCTCATCAGTCTTCAATGCTGCACGGTTCAAGAACCTGCACATATAAAGCTCTTTCAGTTTATGTTTTAAATGTCATAAAAACACGATATTCACCTGAAGCTCTTGGAAGGCATTCCAACGGAAGTCTTGCCATCTTTTTCTAGCTCCCGGTGATAATCTTCTTCTTTAGAAGATATAACAGCTTTTATTTTCAGTATAGCAGCGACTAAAACGCGGATCAGGCTTGTGAAGGGACTTCCCATTGGTTTGTCATGCTTGTAGAATCTCTTCCCGGAGATAAAAACTATGAAACTGATCAAATTAGCAGCTGCACAAAGACCGAACCCGAGCTTCCAGCTAGCGTTCTCCTGCGTATACACAATTGATGTCGCGCTAATAATTGCGCCTGTATTTACCGTAAAGAAGTACCAGTTGAAGAAGGTTCCTTTGTGTCTAGGTTTATCATATTGGTTTGCACCCGCAGATGCCAAAGCCACCCTTATCCCAGCAGTTCCAGCGGTCACTAGAGCTAAGGCTGCATACAAGATCCGGAGGTGGAGTTTTGATGGGGATTGGCATAGGATTGAACCATCCATAAGAAGTCACTGAAATACCTAAGACCATCTCCAATGGTGCTTCAAATTTCACCTTTTCCTTCATTTTGAAGAATAAAATGAAGAAATCTTCTCCAATGGTGCTTCATTTTCACCTTCAAAATGAAGGAGTGAATAGTGTATCTTCATATTTGAAGGTATACTATTCATATCTTCATATTTTGAAGATGAACTTTTTTATTTACAAAATGATCCTTTAAATTATAACAAGTATTTATTTTATACCAAACAAATTATTTATTTATATTTTATCCAAACAACTTAAAATACAATAACAATATATATTAAATAGAAAAACAAACACATATCCAACATAAAATTTAAAATGCATAATTAATACTAACATTAAATATATAAAAACATACCATATCATATATTAAAAACTTAATAATCTGGTAATTCGTTTCCGGATCTACTAAGATAATTAAAATATTGCCCAAATGAGGTTGATCCAGATGGAGCTTGTTGATTCTGTTTTTCTTCATTTCTTTTTTGTAAAATGCGAGCTTTTTCAGCTTGAACATATGCACGAATCTCTGGATCTTCTATGGAATTCAAGTCTTGAAGTAACATTTTGTTGTCTGCCTTTAGTTCTTTCAAAGCATAATTCTTACTTTGAATCTCCAAATGATGTTGTCTTTGAGCACTTGTCTTCTTTAGCTGCTCCAAAAGTTGTTTATTTCCTTCTTCCAAAGTGTTGATAATAATTGATGTTTGATCATCAATTTTTCTTTTCAGTTTGGATTTTTTTACTCCCATTGGACGTTGAGATGGAGATCCGCCAATGTTGTCATCATCACCATCTAAGTTCAAAGAAAATGAAGACAAACATGGAGATGCTTGTGTAGCGGAATCAGGAGTAGGATTTTCTGACTCTGAAGATATATACCCGAAATTAAGTGGGTTTGATATTTTTCTAGAAGAAGTGTCACCATCTTTAAACTTTTCAAAATTCTTAATAATGTTCCACACATGATCAAATTTCCAACCTCCTTTATATCTTTGATCTTCCATTAGCATCACTTTGGCTTGATTAAACTACAAACAAATTTGAAGAAAAAAATAATTAATAACCAACTGCAAATAAATTTGATAAATCATCTATTAATAATCACAAAAAATACTCACAATATCGTCACTTGAAGCACCACTTGGACGTCTATTCTCACATTGTTTGATGCATGCATGTAATTTTTTTGTTACTTTTTCGATAGTTTGAATTCGGCATTGGATAGATTTTGTTGACCGTTCACTCCACGTTGGATTTTTCTCCTTCTCATAAGCTTCTAGCACACGGGACCAAAGCCGATCGGATGACTGATAGACACCCTTAATTGGATCTTGAGAAATTTCCATATAAATTTGACACAAAAGCCTATCTTCTTCTTGTGTATATCCAGTAGAACGTAGAGGCATTTTTGTAAGTAAAGTAAGAATAAATGTAGTAGAGATAGAAAATTATAGAATGGTTTAATGAGGTGAATGAAAATATAACACCATGATGTTATTTATAGATGTTAATAAAGGCTCCCATATTACTCAATCTCTTATGAGATGATTAGACAATACAATAATAAAGTTATTCAAAGATTCTTACGTTTCTCAATTCATTATGACAAAACTTGAAAATAAAATGACAAAGTGTTTTCAAGATTTGACAAAACAATGATAAAGTGATATAAAGTGTTAGATAAAAAAGTAGACATGATTTTCTTTTTGAATTCTACCATCCATATACTATTAGATTTGACCATACAATGAAAAAAAATTCTAAGGTTGCACGTTATTTAATCTATAACAACAAGAGTAGACAATACAATGACAAAGTGACAAGAGAATCCATTATGACAAAATTTGACAATACAAAACTGATTTTAAAAATTAATATATTTTCACATGTTATCTCTATAAATTCCATCAAAATTCTATGTTACTCATCACAAGCCAATATATACTTATATTTTTCTTATCCTAAATTCTCTCTTTTGAAATGAATTTTAATTTGACAAATATATCCTCTTCCTCATCCTCTTCTAATGATGATGAGAATACGGAGATTCTCCATACTCTTGACCAAGAAGAAGAAGCGATACAATTAACTATCGCTAATAACAACGCGATCATTCAATATCTTCTTAATCAACAAACCAGCCAGGTGATCCATGGTGGCTCAGTTCCCGGACGTTCTTTCATTCACCGTGATCGAGAAAGTGCACACTGGAGATTGTTCAACGATTACTTCTCAGAAAATCCAATTTACAAGGATGCTATGTTCCGCAGAAGATATCGTATGGCCCGTCCTCTATTTCTTCGTATTATTAATGCAGTAGAAGATCATGATAACTACTTTCAACAACGAAGGGATTCAACCGGTAGACTTGGATTATCATCCCTTCAGAAAGTAACAGCGGTATTTCGGATGCTTGCATATGATTTACCAGCGGATGCCACAGATGAGTATATCAAGATTGGAGAATCAACGGCGATTGAAAGCCTGAAAAGATTTTGCCGAGCAGTAGTGGAAATATTTTCAGACCAATACTTACGATCACCAACACCTAATGATGTTTCAAGACTTCTTTACATTGGTGAAAAACGGGGTTTCCCTGGAATGCTAGGCAGCTTAGATTGTATGCACTGGAAGTGGAAAAATTGTCCTACCGGTTGGGCTGGACAATATACAGGTCGCAGTGGATCACCAACAATAATACTTGAGGCCGTGGCAGATTATGATCTTTGGATATGGCATGCATATTTTGGTATGCCAGGCACCAATAATGATATCAATGTGTTGGAGTCTTCCCATCTCTTTTCCAATCTCGCTCAAGGTATTGCTCCTCCTGCTCATTATGTCATTCAAGGAAAAGAATATAATATGGGTTATTATTTGGCTGATGGTATATATCCAAAATGGTCTACCATAGTGCAAACTATTCACGAGCCTATGGGTTCTAAAAAAAAATATTTTGCTACGCAACAAGAAGCGTGTAGAAAAGATGTAGAACGTGCCTTTGGAGTTCTCCAATCACGTTTCGCAATCGTGAAAGGACCAGCTCGTTTTTGGGAGAAAAGCGTAATACATGATATAATGACTACATGTATAATTTTACATAATATGATAATTGAAGATGAGCGTGATCTCGATGCGCCAATTGAAGTTGGAAGAGAAACTCCACCTCCGGATGTTGAAATGGAAAATGATGAAAATACCCGATTCCAAGAATTCCTCGCTCGATTCAGAAAAATAAAGGATAAAGAAGCTCATTTCTCACTTCGGAATGTATTAATTGATCATTTGTGGGAGAAGTATATGTCTACAATTGCATCATAAATATACGTTTTTAATTAATGTTATGTAATGTGATAATAATGTACTTTAAATAAAATTTGTTAGACTATTTGCTTACTATAAAATAAACGGGTTAAAATTCATAAGTTTAGAAAGTAAAGGGTTTTGTTAATAATTAATAATAAAATAGAGATAGAATATACTTAGAATATTCTTTTTGAAGTAGAAAATGAAGGAAACCATTGGAAAAGGCTTGCTTCATTTTTACCTTCAAATTTGGAAAAATTTCAATTTTGAAGATATATTTGAAGGTAACCATTGGAGATAACTTATATTTTTTAGCAACATAGACCAAAATCCAAAACCACTCTTTGATGACTATAACTAAGTCTCGCATAGACAGAAAAAAAAAAAACACACGCGGCGGCTAACCTATTATGAAAGGAAATGTGATCCAGCCACCGCGTTTGCAATCACCAGAGATCTGCGCTTCTGTTTTATCACCAGATACCGAACCAGCCATGGCGAAACAGAGTAAGCTGAGAAATGATTTCAATGAAAATAATGTGTCATTGGTCTTTTTTTATCCATGACAATCAGTTTCTGACAGGTAGTGAATATTAAAAAGACTTGACCAAACCATCGAGAGTCACATGCATCAATCTTCAACAGTTTCATCCACTAGTTATTAATAAACATAATCTTCAATAGTGATCAATCTGTATGATTGGTCCACTGCATGAATTTACACAAACCATCGAGAGTCACATGCATCAATCTTCAACAGTTTCATCCACTAGTTATTAATAAACATAATCTTCAATAGTGATCAATCTGTATGATTGGTCCACTTGGTGGTCCTCTGGATCAGATCGATAATAGCTGTGCATAGATAGAAAGAGATTCCAATCACCACAGAGGTTAATGATGTCGCGGTGTTCCTCAGAGACTCCGGGAATTCTCCATAGAATACTGCAATATTCGCGGGAAAATGAAAGGCCTCGCCTATTCCAACCATCACGAGAGCAGGAACTAGCCATAGCACTGACATAGGACGGCCATTTTCAACTGTTTTCAGCCTCCTTGCTTCCACAATGGCTGATATCGCCATGCTTAGGATGGTCAAAACGTGGCCAATCCCAACTTGTTGAAGCGGTGTCAGTGGTTTGCGGAATAGCTTCTGGTACATGGGATAGATAATCCAGTTGTTGAGCATGATAAAGACACATCCAGAGATGAGTACTATGACTTGCAGAGACCCGGCAGAGACTTTGAAGTGCGGGCCAAGTTCGCGGTCCATGACCAAAGCTTGGAGGACCGTCATACTCATTTGCACTGCCACAGGAGTGCTGAGGAACATGACGGCTGCCCAGAGAGGGACAAGTCGTAGAACGGCTTTGAAATCTTCTACTTCTTGAACAGAGCATAGCCTCCACATGTTATTAATTGAGTCACCGCTCGGGTTTAAATCTTCTTCGGTCTTCAATGCTGCACGGTTCAAGAATCTGCACATGTAAAGCTCTTTTAGTTCTTCTAATTTAACTTTCATGAATCAGGCAAGGTTTCGGTCTTCACCTGAAGCTCTTGGAGGGCATTGTAGTAGAAGTCTTGGCCTCTTTTTTGAGACCATAGTGATGATAGTCTTCGTCTTTTGATGAAATCATAGCCTTTCTTTTCATTGTAGCAGAAACTAAAACGCGTATCAGGCTTGTATATGGACTTCCCAAGGGTTTATCATGCTTGTAGAATCTCTTCCCGGCGATGAAAACGATGAAACTGATCAAATTAGCAGCGGCACAGAGACCAAACCCAAGTTTCCAGCTAGCATTGTCCTGTGTATATACAATTGCTGTCGTGCCAGTAATCGCTCCGGTATATAATGAGAGGAAGAACCAGTTGAAGAAGCGTCCTTGTTCTTTCGGTTTCTTATATTGGTTCGCACCTGCGGCTGCCAAGGTGAACCGCGTCCCAGCTGATCCAACAATTACTAGAGCTAAGGCTGCATACAAGATTCCGAGTTGTAGTTTTGATGGCGATTGGCATAGGATTGAGCCTGTTTCACACGGTCTAGGTATCAAGTAGTCCAAAGATGTGATTAAGGTCAAGAGAGAGACTCCCTGAAAAATGTTTCAAAACTGGTAAGTTTTTTTTATATCAAAACACATAATAGAATTAGTGAGTGCTAAACTTACAGTCAAAGAAATGAAAGTGGAGGCCGAGATGACGGGAATGTTCCCGAAAAAGGAATCGGCTAGGATGGCTGCAACAACAGGCAACATGTTGACAACTCCATTGACAATATTTGAAATCTGAGCAGCAGCGATGTTCTTGATGTTGAATTCCTCGATCAAGAAGACGATCAAGTTCATTCCCCATCCGAAAGAAGTTATGGACATGCCTAACAATGTAACTGCACAACATAAAAATTCACAATTATCAAAATCTCTTTAATTATGTTTTGGTTTTAAAAAACATAAACAAAAAAAGGTTAAAAAACACAAACCGAGCATGAACGGTAAAGTGGTCCAGCCACCACGCTTTCCGCTTGGATCGGTAGAGCGACGCGCTTCTGTGTCACCGGAGTTTGAATCAGCCATGGCAGAGAACAAGAGGAAACAGGAGGTAAATGTAGTTATAATGCAAAGTTGACTTGCGTTTGTGTGTTATAATGCAGTTAGATAAAAGTCTTAAACTATATATAAGCAAGTCCATTACAATAATTTTGTTGGTGCAATGATTTGTTAATGATCTTGTTTGGTCCCGAAAAGACCTAATCAGATTCTGACAGTCCATCTACCGTTGGTGAATGTTATAAAAAACATTAAAATTATTTGACCACTTATTGTTAATAGTAGTATCCAACTACAGAAAAATATAGAAAGAAAACGTTGAATAATACAGAAATGTTTGTGTCAAGATCGTTTGTATTAGCTAATACAGAAATGTTTGTCACAAAAAAACCTGAACTTTTTTCGATGCCGGAAAAAAACCCCAACTAATTTACCGTTGACAAAAAAAACACGAACTATTTTGTTTTTCCAATTTCCTCTCGTCTTCGTTACGAGCGTTAACGCCGTTGTTGACGCCGTTACTATTTTTTGAGAAAGTTCTTGAAAAAAACCCAAGTTATTTAAGTTTGCCAGAAAACTACCCGAATTATTTGTTCGTTGCCAGAAAAATACATAGATCAACATTTTTCTTTTCTTTTCTTTTTGTCTTCCATCAACAATGTAAGATGGTGAGAGCTAATAACTTTTATGTGTTATCTTGAACCTCATAAAAGTTTTCAGTTTTCACTATTACTTAGGACAATTAAATTTAAGAACAAAAATATACAAATAGATTAGTCGATTTTCAAATTTTTAAATTAGATTTGTTTTTGGATCTATTCAGACTTTACAAATTTTAGGACATCATCAACAATGGAACACTAAATTTCATAAGAGCCCCAAAAATCTTGGTAGATCTTCAAAAATTCTCTACATAAATCGCAAAAAAAAATACTCAAATCAAGCAAAATCCACCAAAATTGAAGGTAAAGCTAGCTTAATCAAACCAACTCAACGCTAAAAAAAACGACTAATCTAATTGTGTTTTTTTTTGTTCTAGTTAAAAAATTGGGGAATCAACTAATGTAATTGTGAGTTTTGTTCTAATTGGAAAATTGAAAAATCGATTAATTTAATTGTAGTGAGAATTTGTATGAGGTTCAAGAGAACACATAAATTTATGAGGTCTAACCACCTTACATTGTTAATGAAATAAAAGAAAAAGAGAAAAATCTTGATCTGTGTATTTTTCTGGCAACAAAAAAATAATTCAGGTATTTTGCTGGCAAAATTAAATAACTTAAGTTTTATTAAGGAATTTTTCTAAAAATAGTAACGGCGTCAACGACGGCGTTAACGGCCGTAACGGAGACGAGAGGAAATTGGAAGAAAAAAATAGTTCGTGTTTTTTTTGTCAGGGGTAAATTAGTTGGGGTTTTATTCCGACATCGAAAAAAATTCAGGTTTTATTCTGGCAAATATTAAATAGTTGGGGTTTTTTTTAGGAATTTTCCCTTTCTGTATTTGTAAAACAAAGAGCAGACAAGGAAATAAGTGAAATTCAAGACTCCTAAAATTAGGCATGTCAATCGGGCTAGCCGGGCCCGGCCCGGCCCGAATCCCGCAAAGCCCGCATATGTTTGAGCCCGGTCCGGCCCGGTCCGTAAAAATTCCGAGCCTAGATTTTGAAGCCCGGCCCAGCCCTAACAGGGCTACAGGGCTTTTACGGGCTTTTTTGGGCTTTTCTTTCGAAAAAAATAAACTCTTCTAATCTATAATATCTCTTGAAAAAAAACAAGCTATGTATAAAACGAGTCAAACGAAACTTAAATAACCCACTAAAGCCAATTTAGTTTTAAAAAAGTTTAAAATCAAATAAATAATCTAAATAAATTGTTTAAACCCACACTAAATAAAATATAAAATCAGAACACTTATAGTAAGACACAATTATAAAACTAGGTTTAGGGTTTTTAACTCTATTAAAAAAAATCTTTAAACAAATCTCTTAATTAAACAATAATATTTACAAAAAAAAGTTAAAATCTTTTTTTAAGGGCTTTTCTGGACATATATTTTTAAGCCCGAGCCCGCTGTTTTTCAGGGCTGGGCCGGGCCAGCGTGCGGGCTTTGGCCCTAATTGACATGTCTACCTAAAATGACTAAAACCCAGTAGACATTGTCAACTCTTCCGTGGTTTATGTCATTTGGTAACCACTTGGTGGTTCTCTGGATCATATCAATAAGAGCAGTGCACAGATAGAAAGAGATTCCCATCACCAACGAGGTCAATGAAGTCGCAGTATTCCTCAGGGACTCAGGGAATTCTCCATAGAATATTGCAATACTCGTGGGAAAATGAAAGGCCTCGCCTATCCCAACTATCACGAGAGCAGGAAACAGCCATATCACTGACATGAGACGGCGGCTATTTCCAACTGTTTCAACATTTGTCTATGTTTTGGTTTAGAAAAAAAAAAAAAAATTAAAAAACACAAACCAAGCATGAACGGTAAAGTGATCCAGCCACCACGCTTTCTACTTGGATCGCTAGAGTAATGCGCTTCTTTGTCACTAAAGTCTGAATCAGCCATGGCAGAGAATAAGAGGAAACAGGAGGTACTTTGATTTGTGTTAATGTGTTATATAATGAAGTTAAATAACAACGTTAAACTATATAAGCAAATCCATAACAATTATTATGTTAGGAAGATAACAATCCTAATCAGATTCTGACAATCCATCTCCTAGTGTCGTTTTCCATAGGTGAATGTAATAAACAACTAAAAAAGCAATAGTAGTAACCACACCACTCCACAAAACATCAGAAAAGTATAAGTAGACAAAGAAATTTTGAAAAATTCTATTTAAAGTTTATATACTCACGTTGAATCATTGAGTCAGTTTTGTACGATATACATAGAAAATCCTTGAAATTATGTATCAAAAATACAGAAATGATTTTCTTTTTGTCCAACCAAAAAAAAAAAAAACTAACCAAAATAGATGCTAGAAAGGGTCTTTAGAGATGATCATTACTAGAAAAACAACAAAAACACAAGAACATAACATGTTGTGTCTTAGATTGTAACATCTTTTGGATCTTGTTCCTGATCATCATCTTTCAGGTCTCTATATCTGTAAAACCAAGCGCATACAAGGAAATAGCCGAAATTCAAGACTCCTACAATGACTAAAAGCCAGTAAACGTTGTCAACTCTTCCACGGTTAATATCATTTGGTAACCACTTGGTGGTCTTCTGGATCAGTGTGATCAGAGCTGTGCTCAGGTAGAAGGAGATTCCAATCACCACTGAGGTCAATGAAGTTGCGGTGCTACTCAGAGACTCGGGGAATTCTCTATAGAATAATTCAATATTCGCCGGAAATTGGAAGGTTTCGCCTATTCCTACTATCACAAGGGGAGGAACCAGCCATAGCACTGACATGGTATGGCCATTATTAACTGTTTTCAGCCTCTTTGCTTCGACAACGGCGGATATCGCCATGCTTAAAATGATGAAAACGTGGCCTATACCGACTTTTTGAAGCGGGGTTAATGGCGTATGGGTTAACTTGTGGTACATGGGATAGACAAGGAAATTGTTCATAACAATAACGATGCATGCGGTGATGATTACTATAACTTGGAGGGACCCGGCCGGGATTTTGAAGTGAGAGCCAAGCCCACGGTCTGTGACTAGAGCTTGAAGTATAATCAAGCTTGTTTGCATCACCATGGGAGTACTAACGAAGATGATGGCTAGCAACAGAGGGAGAACTCGGAAAACAGCTTTAAAATCTTCTACTTCTTGAACCGAGCATAGCCTCCAGATGTTATTAACAGAGTCGTCTTCGGTTTTTAATGCTGCACGGTTAAAGAACCTGCACATGTAAAAAGCTCTTATCAGTTCTGTTTTAAGTTTGATGACTGAGGCAATTTTTTTTGTTTTCTTACCTGAAGCTCGTGGAGGGCATTGCAGCAGACGTCTTGCTTTCTCTTCCAAGCCCATGGTGATAGTCTTCTTCTCTGGATGAAATTACAGCCTTCCTTTTTGCTGTAGCAGCGAATACAACACGGATCAGATTGGTGAAGGGGCTTCCCATGGGTTTGTCATGCTTGTAGAATCTCTTCCCAGAGACGAAAACGATGAAACTGATCAGATTAGCGATGGCACAAAGACCAAAACCAAGTTTCCAGCTAGCATTTTCCTGTGTATATACAATTGCTGTTGCGCCAGTAATAGCTCCAGAGTATAGTGTGAGGAAGTACCAGTTGAAGAAGCTTCCTTGTTCTTTAGGTTTCTCATATTGGTTTGCACCCGCGGATGCCAAGGTGAACCGCGTCCCAGCTGATCCAATGATCACTAGAGCTAAGGCTGTATACAAGATCCCGAGCTGGAGTTTTGATGGCGATTGGCATAGAATTGACCCCGTTTGACACGGTGGAGGTCTCAAGTAGTCAAAAGATGTGATCAAGGTCAAGAGAAGGATGCCCTGAAAACGTTTATCAGTTGGTAAACTTTGTGTGTCGCAACACAGAAGAGAATAGTTGAGTCTCAGACTTACAAGCAAAGAAATGAAGGCAGACACCGAGATGACGGGTATGTTTCCGAAGAAAGAATCAGCTAGAATGGCTGCAACAACAGGCAACATGCTCACACATCCATTAACAATATTTGAAATCTGCGTAGCAGCGATGCTCTTGATGTTGAATACATCGATTAGGAAGACGACTAAGTTCATTACCCATCCGAATGAAGCTATGGACAGGCCTAACAACGTAGCTGCGTACCATATAGAGCCTTAGCCTTATAATCACTATTATTAGTCTATGTTTTGTGTTCAGAAACATAAACAAAACACCCATAAAATACACTAACCGATCATGAATGGAAAAGTTTTCCAGCCACCGCGATTGCTGCTTGAATCGCGAGAGGTCTGAACTTCTGAGTCACCAGAGAGTGAACGAGCCATGACAGAGAACAGAGGAAGCTTAGAAGTTACTTCCACTCAGGTAAAAATCCCCGAACACTAAATATGTTGGTTAGTCTTTGTGTCAATTTAGAAAACTTATCAATAGTAGTATCCAATAATCATAAGCAAAACATAAAGAAAGTAAACAAAACTACGTTGATTAGTCTTTGTGTCAATTTCCATAATCTGCAAAAGTATACTGAGAGTGATTTTATCAAGATTCACTCTAAATGTTGTTATGGTCATTTATTAAACAAGATTCACTCTAAATTCACTTTATAGTTTTTTTCTCTCACTTTTTTGTACCTCTTGGCACTCTCATTTATTAAACAAGAATCTCTCTAGTTACACAATTAAAGTTCCATAACTCACAAATCTGTCCAAATCTGCCCATTATCTATACTATTAATTGGGAAGGATTACCTGAAAAATAACCTTACAATCTGTAAATAATTACAAGAGAATGCCATTACAATTAAAGTTTTGATGACAAAATAAAAAAATATGCGGAGGGGTAAAATTGTAATATTCCCGCTGTTGGGATGCGGATCCCGGATCCTACAGCCGGATCCTGTTTTTTTAAATATGGCTGACCCGATTATGTCATTGGGAGATGACTGTTGGGCTTACAATATGTTTAGGCCCATCATGAATCTCCTTTTGATTTTTTAGGAATCTGCAGTAGATATAAGCAAATAAAAACATTAGCCACACAAGTCAAACATTACCATAACTATTTTTCCGGATCAAATATACTACTCTATATTTTGCCTTAACAAACAAATCACATAATTTACACTTCCTAAAATAAAACGCATTTATTTATATTCCATATAATAACAAATCAAGCATATTCTTTACTTATTCTAAAATCGGGAATAATTTAGCAATTAATTTTTTGATTAATTGCACTCAAATCTCGCAAAAATCTTACCATATCAACTCAAACTATTAATGCCAATGTAAAAATATATAGTGTAGACGGTGAATTAAATGCAAAGCTAATTAATCCATATCTCCCTATAATATATTGAAAGATACAGTATTGTAACTTATTAGATAATTATACTACTCTCTAAATTAATTTGACTAATAATTAGACACAAATCTCGCAAAGATCTTTCCATATCAATACAAACTATCAATGCCAATTTAAAAATTATCTCTTTAAATGCAAAACTCAATTATTTGTATTTCTTTATATTGAAAGATATAGAATTCTAACTAATTGTATTTCCATTATTAGTTGGTATTAAAAATCACACAATCTCTTCAATATCCATATTCAGTTCGATATTGATATACCAAACAAGTAAATCGGAAATTATATGCAAATAAATCTCCCTAAATCAAGCATATACCTTTAAGATCCTAATCCCAAATTATATTATACGGCCTATATTCTCTAAAACCTAATAAAACTAAAGGCTCCATACGATTACTATAAATATAGGGACCTGCATTAGAAAGAACTCACCTTTCAAAGCTTTACCATTACCACTTCACTATTTCTGTAAGAAAATGGCAGCTGTTCAAGCATTCACCCCTCTTGCTGACATTAAGCCCTTCAAAACACATTGGAAAATTCAAGTTAAGATTGTGCATTCGTGGACACAATACACTCAATTCACCGGGGAAACAGTTGAAATGGTTCTTGCTGATACAGCTGTAAGTATAAGAACTATCATTTTCAACATATTAAACATTTATCAATCATCAATATTGATGGATGATTAACATGAGTTCTTTTTATCTGTTGCCAGGGTACTTTGATTCATGCTACTGTTAAGAAGCCACAAGTGAGCAAACTGCAAAGGTTCATAGTTTCTGGAGAATGGCGTATTATCGAGCATTTTACGCTAACCAAATCAACAGGAAAGTATCGAGCCACAAAACATGGTTTCAAGATGTCCATGATGGAAAAAACTGTGATAAGTCGCACTCCTGCTGTTTCTGATGACATTTATGTGGATCTGGCAAACTTTCCAGATATTTTGAATGAAGCAGGATTGAGTGAAAACATCTTAATTGGTACTATATCTATCTTACTTTCCATTGTATATTTTCTTTTTCTATTATAATAGGAACTTCTTCATGAAAATATAATTTATTAGTCTCTTATTTTGCAGATGTACTTGGACAGGTAGTTAGTTTCAATGAAATGAAAATTCATGATGTTAACAACAAGATCACAAAGAGACTTGAGTGTGAACTCAGAGACACAAAGTAAGTTTAATCATGAATCTACCTTTTCTATATAATCTTACATACATCTAAACTTAAAACTTTCTCAATATTTTTGTTGTAT